ATTGTCGGGTATACAATGTTGTTGAAATCAGAGCAATTGTATTATATGTCTCAGTTGAAATGTATACAATAACAAATTTTTTTACACAAGTTTAACTTTATATCGATTTATTGAATGCCTGGATTTTGCTTAAAATATTGAATTAAAAAAATAAATAATAAAATCATATTCAATGAAATCTCGTTTAATTTTTTACGAAATAATACAAAATAAAGAAACATAAATATTAGTTTGATTATCTTTTAAAGCAAAAATTATTTTTTTAAAGATTTTTTTTTATAATATTCATATTTTCTTTAAGTTTATTATGATACATACTTCTTCTGGTTTGACACGGGGAAGAGAAGATATTTATTTGTACAGTTATGAAAACTTTTGTATATCACAAAATTTAAACTCTGGTAATACATGTATACACAGGATGTTTAATGTCACCTGGTTGCTTTTGGTTTGCACGTCTACCTGACAATATATTGTTATGTAACATTACATCCAAAGTCAGAGTTCACCTGTTCGTCAAGTGATGGGATTTTGAAGGTATGGAATATTTATCTGTAATAATTGTTGGGATTTTTTTCTCTCTTGGGACGTAAATATTTTTTTGTTCTAAAAGGAATGTATAAATATATTTCTAAAGAAAGATAAATTATACAGAAAACAGGAAAAAAACCTTTTAAAAAAAGAAGAGAAAAAATTTTATTATAAATTTTATTGTTAACTATTTTCTGGTAACAGTATATCCTGGATATCTGTCAAAATAAAATTTTCCCGTGTCACACTTAAAATAATATTTTTTTAATCAATAAATTTTGAAATCAATCATATCGAAATATCACCAAAGAAAATAACAGAAACATCAGAGATTCTACATGAAAATTAAATTAAATCAAGGAAAGTTTTACTATACAAATCCTCGATTTGATGCAACATTTCCATATACATCATCCGCCATTTTGAAAAATCCCGAAATATTCACTTTTTTAAATCGATTTTTGACCGAAATTGCCCAGAAATTAAACTGTTTTAAATAGTATTTTTCGCCAGATATATGTTTGAATATACTTAATCGAGTTGCAAAGTTTTATTTTTATTAACGGAATTTCTTTATTTGTTATACAAGTAGACATGGGTATCGGTAATTTAGCATTAAGTCAACGGAGAAATAACGAGAAAAAGTACATGTTTTTACGTACTCCAGTGACCGAATTTAATCAAAAATTAAACTGTTAGGACCAACATTGTTTGATAGAAATATGTTTGAATATCAAGGATTGATTTGCAAAAGTTAGAAAACGGGTCAGGTTCATGAGAAAACTCAACTTTATTGAAGCACCTATGCATTTTATATGGGGCAATATAATACAAAATGGCGGCTAGTATACGTCACAAAAGTCACGTGATGTCTGACTTAGTTGGATATGAAATTTTTATACAAAAAAAAATCTGTACCAGTACTATGAGGATCAGTGGAGACTCCAAATGCACAACTGTATTGATGGAAAGCTCTGTAACTATAGCACTTTCAAGATAAATTTTGGTCTTGAAAGATATCTTATTTTATTGCGATCCCCTGAGCGGAGGAGAAATTTTACTCGAGTGCGTATTTCCTCACATCTATACTATTAAACGAGACCTCATTTTGTGTGTCGCTTCTCTTCCTTCCCCAATAAATTAATCATCATGCCTCTGTGTCCTATATGTACCATGCATAGTCGCATTTGTCATCCATTCTTATGATTATTCAGTTTGGGTTATTTTGGGAGAAAAACGAAGAAAAAGGCGTCCGGATATTGTTTCCGTCATCAGACCGACTTTTAATTCATACCCAAGACTTCCGATTTTAAACTTTAAAAGAGGGGGTAAAGGGTTATTATCTTGCAACGTGTTTTGCGAGTTTTTATTTCACGTGCAGCCGTGAAAAAGGTTCGTTATTCATCGTGTTTCTTGAAATCGATAAAAAGATCAATGTGCAAGAAATTTTCAATTGTTCGCTCATCGTGAAATGGCAATTTTATTTCGCGTTCTTCCGTGCAGATACCCCCTTTACTCCCCTCTTTAAACACAATTTTCATAATTACGCGGGGACAGGACAATTATTTTCGCGTTATTCTGCGTGTATACTATGTTTATAATCCTAAAATATATAGAGAATCTCTATATAATATAGCCGCGTGAGTGATCGCCGTGGCGAAGAAACTTGGAAATGATATATAGTTAATAGCAAACACACTTTATTTATATTAAATGTATGTTCATAGTATACAGAAACGCGAAAATCATGGAATTTAACAGAGAGCAAAAAAATAACGGACTTTGGAAAAAAGGAAGAGGGCTTAAAAAATTGTCCTGTCTCCAAGTGCCTCATTTATGCCTAGACTCACCAATAATAATGATGACTCAGTTTGATAACTTTTCTGAAATTCTCCAGACATAAAATGTTTTACATACTTTCAACCAAGCTCTAAATACCCGCGATTTCGCGGGTGTGTTCTAGTAGACTTAGAATTGAACAAGGTAGATATCATGGTATTTCTCGACAAAACAGAGTATGTCTCAGGTGCACCTCAAATGAAATTGATGATGAAAAACATTTTTTTTTATTTTCATGCACATCATCTCTAACTAGGAGAAACTGCATGTACTCAATGATTAACTCACTCTATCATAGCTTTAAGCAATTGATTCCTAGCCAAAAACTAATCTGGCTACAGTACTTAACACATGCTTAATGTAGACGATGTTGATATATCTGTTTGTGATCTGATTGATGAAGGCAAAATATAGATCTAGCTTCTCTGCATCAGGCACGAGGATATGGCATGTTGGTTACCTAGACTCACCAATAATAATAATGTACTTTCTTATATTTATTTTATCATTGACAATCAGAATTATTCCCATATATATTGTATTTAACTAAAGTATTTTTCTATTTAGTACTATGAAAACTTGGGCATGTCATTTAGCATCGTCCCTTGGTGCCTCTTGCAGTCGGGTCATCTTACAATATGTATCAACCCCTCTGCATCAGACACGATGATGACATGTACCAGGCCGGTTTGTGCATCTGCTCATAATATCATAACCAAATTGTCTATTTACATTCATATATACCATGTGCGTCTATCTCTTACCTTGCCATGCAGCACCGTCCCTTGGTGGCTTTTGCAGTTAAGTTAAATATCCAATACATTGCCAATTTTTAAGGAACTTTTTCATGATGGGGTGTACCTGAGAGGGAGGTAAAACGCTGTTAAACGTATATATATATATATATATACAAGTCTAAATTGAAAACAACGTCCAATCCTATGATTGCGTTGGATAAAAACCGCAATTTTTATACGTGTGCATGTAGAACAAATTTCTTGGTAGAGGGGTCTAAATACAGCACAAACAACATTTTCCAAAAGACCAAAATAGTGAAAAAGTATATTTTAACAAAACGCATTTGACTAACAGGTCGAACAACGATGTTCTTAAACCCTGCTGACTGCCATTGGCGATTGCCAAATAAATTGATCACCAGTACAAAATAGATCTTAATATTAATTTAATACCAAACAGAAAACAATAAACTTGTGGAAAAGATGGTTTACCACAAACATGAGGTGCACAAATTTTTTATACACCATATCCGGATTTCGACAACTAATGTCTCTTCAGTGATGTAAGGGATCGAAACGGTATTTGGAAGGCCATATAATTTACCTCAATTTAGGATAGACTCTTGAATTTTAAAGAGTCGAAATAGGATGAACGGATCATATAAACCCGAAGGAAAATATAATACAAGCCCAAACGGAAAAATATAAACAAGTCTAAATTGAAAACAACGTCCAATCCTATGATTGCGTTGGATAAAAACCACAATTTTTATACGTGTGCATGTAGAACAAATTTCTTGGTAGAGGGGTCTAAATACAGCACAAACAACATTTTCCAAAAGACCAAAATAGTGAAAAAGTATATTTTAACAAAACGCATTTGACTAACAGGTTGAACAACGATGTTCTTAAACCCTGCTGACTGCCATTGGCGATTGCCAAATAAATTGATCACCAGTACAAAATAGATCTTAATATTAATTTAATACCAAACAGAAAACAATAAACTTGTATATATATATATATTTATTCAAGCCTAAATTGAAAACAACGTTCAAACCTATGAGTGAGTTGGATAAAAAACCTGAGAAGGGGGTAAAACGCTGTTAAACGTATACATATATATTTATATTTATATTCAAGTCTAAATTGAAAACGTGTAGTTCATTTATGTTCAAACTGCTTTTTCTTTGTATGGCATTAGACATTATTAGACATTATTTTATTATACCAATCATGGGCCCTTGTCGGGCAAGATACATAAACATCATAATACAAAGATTATTATTAAACAAGTTTTTAGTGAAAAACACAATACATAATACACAAAGTAATACAGTGATAGTTTATACCATGTATACGTCCTTGTGTATGTATACTAGACTATTGTTGTCTTTTGTCTTCTTCTTCTTCTTCTTCTTCTTCTTCTTCTTCTTCTTCTTCTTCTTCTTCTTCTTCTTCCTTCTTCTTCTTCTTCTTCTTCTACGGGATTTTCTATAAATGCATCAACTCAAAAAAATACATGTCATACATGTGAAAAGAAATCGTTCGCATATGGTTAAAATCACTTTCAGAGTTCTGCTGAAAACTGTGTAGGAATATGTACTGTATACATGACGGTTTTTCAAGCACCGATCAGCACCGGTGGATGGCCCTTGACTTTTTCTTCATGGCATCAGACTTTTTTTTAAGTCCTCAAACCTGAGACTACTATAGTAGTCTCAGCTCAAACCCAATGGTCATTTTGCTTTAGGTCCACGTTTTGCTTTTCTTTTATTTTATAACTTGAATGTAAAATCAAGGGAAGTTATCACGATAATTGTAGAGCCTGAATTGTAGCCTGGATCGCCATTAATATGATACCAGACTAAATTTAGCGTTCGATACACCTCGGTAGATTATATATCAATGTACAGGAATCTACCAATGTATGCCGAATGCTTGATCGAAAGAAGTTTGGAAGTTATTATTTTTCATGTTTAACACCTCAATCGATATCCCAATGAACATCATGAATAAGTCTAGCGGTATGACATTAGGTAATATTATCACCAAAGCCTTGAAGACAAACTCGCTCACAGTTTCATTTTCATCTGCAGCAACGCAGAAAATAAAATAAAAGGGGGAGGGTGTTCCATGCCACGGTATCCTTGTCTCATGGGTTTTTTGCTATGAAAAATGCATTGTGATTGTGACGTCACAATTTCCATTGAAAAAGCATGCATACTACGAATTCATATGACGTACGAAAACATATGATCTGACCATACTTGTTTCTGTAAAATACTTTATTAAGGTATTATTTTCTACAGAAACAAGTACCTGTTGTTTATGCCGGATAACTGAATGTATATGTCACACATGTCACATGTCTGTCTATATCACAAGCACCTGTTTTTTTTTATAACTGATTTAGAAACGGGTCAGGATTGGCAGGAATAACCAGACATGATAGATGATTTAAACTTGTTTACAAATTTTTCCACCATAAAGTCAAACAAGCTCCTTTCAAATTTTGCGTCATACTTTAAAACATTGTCAAAATAAAACAGGTGCTAACCAGGGGTCCAAAAGATAGATGAAACCTGAAAGAACAAGAGCAAGGTTTTGACCAACGACAACAAAATCAACCAGGAGAAACATGTACATAAACTTTTCCAGAAAAATTGTCTCTTGTTATGTTTTAACTGGCCTAATGCCAAGTAATTTATTATTGTGATAAGTTCCCAAAACATAGTGATAAGAAAAATGCCTTTCATCATTGCACTTTAAGTTTTTTTCAAAGTTGATATTAAAAGGATCCAATTTTGCTTGGGTTTTGGGCTTGAATTAAAGAAAATTTAAAAAAAATATTTATTAATTTATTTCATAGATCAATGATAATGTTGAATTCATGTTTTATGCCTGTAGTAGAATCTTATCTTGAAAACTTTCAATATAAAATTCAATAATAATCATATGATAATCAGTAAAGCAGATGACACACTTAAGCAATGTGCACTTGTTTGAAATACATTGTAGTTCTAGGATCTCAATTTCAATCTTCCTAACTTTCCCACTCTAGGTAATCTTGGATGAATTGATATATTTACATATATTAAATAGTGAATAAGATAAAAATGAAACAAAAGAATTTATTATAATTAAGGCTTAAGCATCAGCATACACATATTTGTGTATCATGTGCCAATGAAAGCATGCTGGCTTCCTTATCATGCAAACAGATGTTGTTGGACCTGATCTACCACAGCGCCACCTGTAATTAAGTGGGGATAATCTTCACCAATGTCTCTCATTGAAATCTGACCATTTTTTTTTTAAATACTTTAAAGCATGATAGACAGTCACAGATCTGGAGCCTTTGAAGTAAGTTGAAAATGAAATGATAAAAATAAAAGATTTTTTACAGATGACTATGAATGGCAGCCTCCAACTGAAGCTGAAAGGAAAATTATTCAAGCACGAAGAGAACGCTCTGACAAGATTAGTAGCATAATGGGTGAATACCTCCTTAAAGGTTACAAAATGCTTGGTTCAACCTGCCAATTTTGTGAGGTAATAAAAATAGGAAGAGATAGTACAAGCACACATAATGTGATTCAATTAAAAAATCAGTCTTTCTGGTGTTGAGGGATGATTGTAAAAAATGGTGGTGGGGGGTAGTGATAACACTCTGATGAATAATGCTGTTTTATATTACTAGTGGAATATGTACAGAGAGTAAATAACCGACATTAGAATTCACTGTGAAATTTGATCATTAAACATGTTAAAGAAATTGTCAATCACCTAATGTGTACTGTAACAGCAATTTTCCACAAACAGTTCCATCAAATTTGTAAAATTATTCAATTCTTTCAAACTAAATAAAAGTTTTAGTGATAAATGAACAAAAGTATATACATGTAGTCTTTTCAATGAAATAGAAAAAATAATCATCTTTGTTGCCACTTATTGACCCAAAACTACCATTTTTCATATACTTTAGTAATATTATATGTGTCAACAACATCAATACCCAACAGATATTTCACTCACATCGACAACTTTGCACAAGCTAACCTGTGGCAATATATTGTTTTGGGTTGTTGCTGTTGCTTAAGCCTAAAAAAGATTAACGGAAAGATTTTGAAATCAGACAATCAATTTTGGCAGCTTTTGCATTTTGTTCCATAGATAAGTTTTAAAGACCTAAAGCAAATATTCAAGAGAATTTCCAGTTTATTATTGCTGATATCTGACTGTAATTTTGCAAGGTTGTTTGAAGGGTGTTATTTGTTAATAGATTTATTTCTTTTTTATTTTCGACTTGAAACGGTGAAAAAAGTTGCCTTGTCATACTTTTTCCTTTTTGCTTTAAATTCAGGGCTCAACAAACTAGAAGAAATAGAAGACATTTTTTACTCTAGCCAAACTACATGTACATGTAAGTTTTTGTATGCCCTGTCAGATGGAAAAGTAGTATGATTAGGCCATGATAAATTCCATTTCATTTCTTTTTATTTGCTTGCATTAATGTATTGGCATTTGAAGATTTTAATGAAAAAAAAATTTCTGCAGACAAACATTTGCATTTGGCCCAAACATTTATCATTTTGTAGGAATAAAAGAGGAATCACATTTGCTTTTTAATATACCCCCCCCCCCCCTCCCAATGTTTTGGGATGGTATATAGGAATCTCCTTTTCAGTCTGTCTATCTGTCCTGCTTTGTGTTCGGAGCATCACTTACATGACTTATGTATCGTAGAACTTAGTTTGACCAAACTTGGTATGAAGATGTTCCACGGCAAGGTAGAGTATCTCATACCAAATTCAGGTTACTTTGACCTTTGTCTTTGAACTTTGAATCCTGACCTATGAAAGTAAAACTTGTCTGATTTGTGTTAGGGCATAACTTTGTACTGTACAAGTTAGGTTAACCAAACTATATATATGGATGCTTCATGGAAAGGTGGTTAGGCCAAAAAAAAATATATGTCTGTTTACGGTTACCCGACCAACCCTACTTTTGAGAGCCGACCCTAAGTCATTTTATTTCCGTTGTAAAGTGAAAAATAAACTTAACAATGCTGAACTTGTGTCAAAAGCGAAGTTAGTGTTGCAAATAACATAAATCAATTGCCTGATACATCCCAATGTTCACAATCGTGAACATGACAGCTGTATTAAGGAAATTTGCAACTCGTGTGATGAAATAAACGCTTTGCCGCCATTTTTTCCAACCAATTACCAAGGGAAATAATCCAATCATTAAAAATACGGGTAAACTCGGCCAATGATCAACTCGGACCACGACAAGACGAAACGGCATGACTCAAAAACATGTCACAAAAAATAAAATAAAAAAATAAAATAAAATGGAAATAGACTTACCTACCCTATTTTTTTAAAGTATGTAACCTTAAACAGACAAATATTATTTTTTGGCCTTATTATGATTAAGAGATAATGTATGAAGCAACATTTTGAAAACGTATTTTTTCTTTTCAATTTTGCAGTATATTACTGATAGATGGACTTACTTTTTTAACAGTTAACAGGCAGTATCTGATTTAATTTTTTTGACATGATAAATTTGAAAACCTTAATGGAATTTTATTTAACTTGGACAGAAGCTAATTATATTAAAAAATCAAGAAATAACATTGAAAGAAAAAGTTTGATTTTTTGTAATTCTGTATTTTACTGATAAATGAACTCACTTTTAACAGTCAACATTACATGCTTACACTCACAGCAGCAATCAAAGACAAGACACAAGGTTTGGCGGAACCCTTTACAGATTTTTTTATTTTTCAATAGCAAACTTACTCATGAAACTAAGGAAACTTCACACTGATTTCTTTCCAGACAATTTTATTAGAAACTCCAATTGGGGAGAAGTATTGTATAGCCTGCAAAGAACTTGATGAAGATACACAAGAAAACATCCCAGAAGAATTTCAAGAAAACAACCCTGGTAAGTTTCTTCATGCTTATTCGTAGACGGACATATGGAAAAGGCATACAATCAAACCTTTATTAAGCAGTCTCTCATTGGGAGTACCAAAAGTGATCCTTTTCTTCAACAATTCAAACATACTAGATGGACTCATCTTAATTGACTAGAAATGCCAGTTTTCCTGTCATAGGTCAATGGATCTCTTGAGATACTCTAGCTTCCTCCACACGTGGCGCTGAAATAGGTGATAAACACCAACAATCAATCAATCAAACAAACTATAACTTGTAAATAAATAATATAGATATTACGTATACTGAAACTGATTGAATTTGAAAGTTTTTTCACAAATATTTATAATCTGCTAAAATAAGCTATAAAAATTTACGAATACAAATGTATTATGTATTTTACCATATTTGAACAGTTATATATTTGCCACAAATACTAGTTGAGAGAAGCTAAAATTTCCTGAACCGCTAGATCAGATCCTTTATTTAACACTCTACAATAAATTAAGATAGAAAATTTTAAAGTAAATGCATATAGTCCAATCTGATTAAAATACAGATCTTGTGTGCAAGCATTGCTGTCAAGGATCTGAAACACTCTGTTTTACTTTCTGTTCTAGTAATTATAACATCAGCCAATGAAATTTCAGCCTTCAAATTTTTAAAAGTGTCTTAATTGGACAAAACCAGAGGATTCTGAAAGTTCTTTCAACATGTTCAAACAGAAAGTAGAAGGAGCGTTTTCAGATCCTTGTAAACAAAGCTTGGATACAGGATCTGTATTTTAATTAGATTGCATATAGTCATTACTTCTTTCTTTTAGTATTTCAGGCTGAAGCTTCTGAGCAATCTTTACGTGGTGAAGAGAGACTGGAAAGGTCTGATGCAATCAGTAAACTATTAGGAGATTATTTACTGAAGGGATACAAAATGTTAGGATCTACATGCAGTAAATGTGATGTATGTAATCCGTTTGTTTGTGTTTCACTTGTGGCTTATGTGTGGTATTATAATGTTATAGACCATAAATTATAGTGTTATAGACCATAAAATACAAGATAGAATTTGAAATCTAAGCCATTGGTTTTCTCAACAATTTTTAGCTCACCTTGCCCAAAGGGCCAAGTGAGCTTTTCTCATCACTTGGCGTCCGCCGTCGTCGTCGTTAACTTTTACAAAAATCTTCTCCTTTGAAACTACTTGGCCAAATTAAATCAAACTTGGCCACAATCATCATTTGGGTATCTAGTTTTAAAAATGTGTCCGGTGACCCGGCCAACCAACCAAGATGGCCGCCATGGCTAAAAATAGAACATAGGGGTAAAATGTAGATTTTGGCTTATATCTCTGAAACCAAAGCATTTAGAGCAAATCTGACTTTGGGGTAAAATTGTTTATCAGGTCAAGATCTATCTGCCCTGAAATTTTCTGATGAATTGGACAACCCGTTGTTGGGTTAGCTGCCCCTGAATTGGTAATTTTAAGGAAATTTTGCCGTTTTTGGTTATTATCTTGAATATGATAATAGATAGAGATAAACTGTAAACAGCAATAATGTTCAGCAAAGTAAGATCTACAAATAAGTTAACTTGACCAAAATGGTCAGTTGACCCCTTAAGGAGTTATTGCCCTTTATAGTAAATTTTTCACTATTTTTCGTAAATTTTTGTAATCTTTTACAAAAATCTTCTCCTCTGAAGCTACTAAGACAAATTTAAAGAAACTTGTCCACAATCATCATTAGGGTATTTAGTTTTAAAAAATGTGTCCGATGACCCCGCCCGCGAACCAAGATGGCCGACATGGCTAAAAAATAGTACATAGGGTAAAATGCAGTTTTTGGCTCATATCTCTGAAACCAAAGCATTTAGAGCAAATCAGACGAGGATAAAATTATTCATTATGTCGAGATCTATCTGCCCTGAAATTTTCAGACCAATCAGGCAACACGTTGTTGGGTTGCTGCCCCTGAATTGGTAATTTTAAGAAAATTTTGCAGCTTTTGGTTATTATCTTGAATATTATTATAGATAGAGATAAACTGTAAACAGCAATAATGTACAGCAAAGTAAGATCTACAAATAAGTCAACATGACCAAAATTGTCAATAGACCCCTTAAGGAGTTATTGCCCTTTATAGTAAATTTTTTACAATTTTCATAAATTTTGTAAATTTTTGTAAATTTTTACAAAATATTTTCCACTGTAACTACTGGGCCAAGTTCATTATAGATAGAGATAATTGTAAGCAGCAAGAATGTTCAGTAAAGTAAGATTTACAAACACATCACCATCACCAAAACACAATTTTGTCATGAATCCGTCTGTGTCCTTTGTTTAATATGCACATAGACCAAGGTGAGCGACACAGGCTCTTTAGAGCCTCTAGTTTAATGGGGTTTGAAAGATAGTACACTTATATTGCATGTATAAATCCCAAGCATTTTGCCAAGCCAAATTTGCAGAGTTATATTCATTGCATTTTCTCCTCTCAAATTCATATAGATGAGTCACTTGCAAAAAAATTATTTGGTTTACAGAATTAAGGGGCCAAAAATTACCGTAATACATGGTACATAGAATTTTTAATTATGATCCAAATTTAATGTTTTTTTTGGGTTTTTTTTGGTGAACTTCTTCATGACAAGGACTTTCGGAGGCTTTTTTTTAACAGATTTTGCTTTTTGGTCCAGGGGATCCATCTCTGCATTTTCTTGGCCAATTTTAACTTGTACAAATGATGTACAGAAAAGCTTCTACAAATGGTTCTCATTTGGGTCTAAAAACATAGTGGCCAAAGGCAATCATTGATTCTGATTTGCCTGTTTTTAAAAATTTCACTGAAACTACATGGCCAAATGTTTTTGAAACTTTTGGAGACTGATTATTGTAATAGAATTTCACCTGGAGGCGGGCTTCAACTGGCCCCTAAACAACTGGTTTAGTATGGTTACATGTATGTTGGGCAAATGGACAGGTGGGGAAAAGTGGGTACTTAATTTGTGTAAAAAACTCCTCTTTCAGTTTTCAACCCAGATCCCTGAAACTTCACAGGAAGATTGTACATATGTTGAAGCTGTGCACCTGCTAATATGGAACTGTTTGAGGATTTTTTTTCTCATTTTTCCTGGGAACTTAGTTATTTTCCAGCAAAAATTAAAAAACTGGGTACCAAATTTTTGTAATCAACTCTTCCTACAGCTATTGCAACCCGGCTATTTTAGAATTTGACCCATTTTATAGAATAATCTGAAGACAAACAAGGCGATCATAGGTAATCTTTGATTGATTAGCCAATTATTCAAAAATCTTTTTAGTGAAATATTTTGAAACATTAAAAGATTATTGATTGTTGGAGCCTCTACAAGGAATCCTCATTTAATGTTGAATAGGATCATTCATAGCGACAGTCGAACCTCATAGTTACAATTGAAGCCTACATATATATCGAATATATCATTTTCATCTTTCAAAGTATATTTATTCCACCTAACAGAAGTGCCTCTGGAAACTTTGTTTTAGACAATGCCATAATATCTGTTCCTGTTGGAACAAATATTCTATACCCTTTATTCCTGAAGGAGAAAATTCTTTAATATTTGTTCCACTACCAGGTTTAACAGGCGTCCTTGCAACCTGACGTCTCATTTAAAAGGACTTGTCAACTTTAAAAATGTTGTATTTACTGAAAGTGATCTGGTGACCTCGAGCAAATTGTGACCTAAGGGGGTACACTACTGGAGCCCCAAAGGGGTTTAAGTTTAATTTCCGATAGATTGGAAATTTGTATACAAAAGTATATGGTTTCACTAGCATTTTACACAATTTTAGAATAAACTGATTGCTGGTTTCATACACACTATTCTATTTTCAGTACTTATCCATGTCAATGAAACAACAAAAAGATCCAATTAATTCTTGAATAAATGAGTACTCGTTTGAACTTTTACATCTATAATATTTCAGACTATTCTGTTACAAGGCAAAGGCAGAAATGAAAAAGATCTTTGTGTATCCTGTGAAATTCTTAATGATGGAAAAGGTATGGGCCAGTTCAGAAAGAAAATATATGAAGTTATGTGTGAGAAGGCACTTTGTATAATAATTCACAGGTTATCGGTAAAACACCTGTAACCAACGTCAAAAACATGTCAAATTTTAATTAAAGAAGGAGGCATAATAAAAGTCTTTATTTGTCCCCTGATATTGCAAGAATAGAAAAATCATTGAAGCTTTCAGAAAAATGATAATTTTATTGATAAATGATCTGGTTGATATAATTTGAAAACTTTAGTGCAGAAATGTCCCTAAGATGTAAACATATTGAAAATGATGAATTCAACCTAAAATGACAATTTTACACATACTTATTGGACAAAATGAATATGTGCCAAAGACTTACCCAAAAAGATATTTTACACACATTAACAACTTTGTAAAATACATCCTGTAACAACATATTATTTGTGGTAAAAGCCTTGACTCATTTGACATTCTTTAAATGAGGTTTTTGCAGTTTTGCAGCAAATGCTTGAAGTATGCAGCACTAATGCTAACACATAAAACAGAATTTGAAAAATATAAATTCTAATTTTTGATGGACTCATGTCTTATGAACATCTGAAGGATGTTATTTAGTAAATTATAAAAAGAAATTATTGACTTTGAGTGATTCATACAAGAAAAAAACCTTTTTATCATTCCATACAACTGTGACTGAAATAGTATTGAATTGAATTGTGCAAATTTCTGTTTATTTATGATGTTGAGTTTTGAATATTGTAAACCAATTATTTTCACCTTCACTTGAAAAATAACATGAATATATATCATTGCAAATATGTGAAATTTGGTTCTTCTTTTTTTTAATTCATCAACAAAGATAGAAAATCATAAAAATAATAAATTACCATGAAGTAGATTGAAATAGCCAAAAGCCAAAAGATGTATCTCAGAAGTTAGTCTACAGTATGTTTGTATGTTCAGTTGACATAAGAACAATTTGTACCTTGCACATAATTCACGGTCAACTTTGTTTAAATTTTTGAAAGTTTTGAAAATCTTGGCTGATTTTTATGTATCATAAAGATAAAATGATGCAAAATAGTTTTTCAGAAAGTTAATTTAATTCCAAAATTGTTTCAAGGTCTAAGGTGAGTGCTATTTGAAGATAGAGATGAACTCTAGAATATAGGCTGTATCAATTCCTATAGCCGTTTTCAAAACTTACATCCGGAATTACAAATTTTACTCTAAAATTAAAATTTGAAGTTGGTTATCTCCCTTGTAAGGAAGTAGAACTACTTCATGGCAATGAAGCTCATTGAAGACAAGAGTCAACGATAAGTGGTTTTTAATCCCTGTTGATTTTAATAAAGATAATTTTTGATTTATATAAAAATGAAATAATTAATTGTTTTTTTTCTTCCAACATACTTGTTACCAAACTCTATTTTAAAATTTGAAATGCTTGTAAACTAAGGTAATAGATTGTTTTCTATTTAACTTCTCACCTTTGCTCTGCACTGCAGTGAACCAGTATTCATACCAGTAAACTTCCCAAGAAGGGAAATAATCTGTATTTAATTGTAATTTTAATTATAATTTTAAATCAGATTCTTGGTTTCGGAAGTGAGTTTCTAGAAAGTCCTATAGGTAAAGTTTTAACTTTAAATGATACCATTGATTGAGTTAATGATATTTCATTAATTAAGGTATATATTGTTTTTTTGATTAAAATTAATTTGCTTTAAGATTTTAAATTATTTTAATAGCATGTGTTTGATAGTATACTTCTTTTTTCATGTATAACCATATTATTATATTTCAGACAATACCCCAACAGCAGTAACAACATCATCATCCTCTGAAATGTTAGCGAATACCGCTGCAATACCCAACTCAGCAAGGTTTGAAAATGCTGATACAATGTCCTCCCCAGCTATGTTAAGAAATGCCACTGCAATGTCCTCACGACCGATTCAGACGGTGACAAGAACAACTAGTCGATCCCAGTGTACCAATACCTTATCCTATACTGAGGATGTATTAAGACACAAAATAGAATGGGCAACCCAACAACTCCAGTCATCATCCAGTGTGGACTATAGCATACAAATTTGTAATCTGATAAAATCAGCTGCAGATGCTTTTTCATCATTACAGACTATTAAATTTACTAATGAATAACTGGTATCTGTTTACCCCTAAGGTTGCTTTGAATGCAAAATTGTGATGTTTTCCAGTTTTCATGAATAAATACCGGTATATGGATGAGAAGATACTATGGCATTTGTGCGAATGATTTCATTTAGTTTTTTGTCTTGCTTCTTGCAAATTTTTCAGAATGTGAGACATAGGTATGCTATTCGACTGCTGTTTTAATAAGTGGTTATGAAACTATGAATTGATTAAATGATAGATCAAATTTTAATTTTTGAACAAATGTGGAAAAATCTAATGCATTTAAGTGTTATCTGTATATTTTAATGTTACAAAATGACAACAATTATTGAAAAGTATCATTTTAAAATGATCAAAAAGGAGGAAGAAATTGAATCATTTTTAGCTCACCTGGCCCGAAGGGCCAAGTGAGCTTTTCTCATCACTTGGCGTCCGTCGTCGTCCGTCGTCATTAGCTTTTTACAAAAATCTTCTCCTCTGAAACCACTGGGCCAAATTTAACCAAACTTGGCCACAATCATCATTAGGGTATCTAGTTTAAAAAATGTGTCCGATGACCTCGCCAATCAACCAAGATGGCCACCATGGCTAAAAATAGAACATAGGGGTAAAATGTAGATTTTGGCTTATATCTCTGAAACCAAAGCATTTAGAGTAAATCTGACATAGCGTAAAACTGATTATCAGGTCAAGATCTATCTGCCTTGACATTTTCAGACAAATCTGACAAACTGTTGTTGGGTTGCTGCCCCTGAATTGGTAAATTTAAGGAAATTTTGCCGTTTTTGGTTATTATCTTGAATATTATTATAGATAGAGATAAACTGTAAACAGCAATAATGTGCAGCAAAGTAAGATCTACAAATAAGTTGTCATGACCAAAATTGTCAGTCGACCCCTTTAGGAGTTATTGCCCTTAATTGTCAATTTTTAACAATTTTTTGTAAATTTTGTAATCTTTTACAAAAATCTTCTCTGAAACTACTGAGACAAATTTAACCATACTTGGCCATAATCATTATTAGGGTATCTAGTTTAAAAAATTTGTCCGATGGCCTTGCCTCCCAACCATCATGGGGTACTTGGTTAAAAATAGAACTTACGGGTAAAATGCAGTTTTTGGTTTATATCTCTGAAACTAAAGCATTTAGAGCAAATCTGACAGGTGGCAAAAATGTTCATCAGATTTAGATTTATCTGCCCTGAAATTTTCAGACGAATCCGACAACCCGTTGTTGGGTTGCTGCCCCTGAGTTAGTAATTTTACAAAAATTTTGCATTTTTTTGTTATTAAGTCTCCCAAACGAAGTTTGGGAAGACTTATTGTTTTTGCTCAGTTCTTATTATTATTATTCTTCTTCTTCTTCTTCTTCTTCTTCTTCCGCCACTTTTAAATTTGAACTTGTCCGCACCCGTTCTCCAAAACCGCTGTCAGATTAACTTAGGGTTTCACAATATGTTAGACTAACATGTCTAGTGGTGCAATCAGGGTTTTGTTTGTGCAATGGGGTTTATAAAGGGGTACTTTGAGGGGCAAAAAGAAAAGAGGGTTTTACTATAGAACCCTATGGGATTTTATTTTTAAAAATTTTCAAATGATTATAAATTGAAAACTGTTTGTGATAGACACAATTTTTTTAATTGAAAATGTTCTAAATGATAAAGCCCATTAAATGAAATACAGGGTTAGTCCCCAGGGGTCACCCCCTCCCCCTGCCATTTAAGAAAGTTCTAATACCTTGTAAATGGTCAAGATCCCCACCCCTAAACCATATATATTTTGGTTTGTCATGCTAAGATGGTTTGAATGATATACAGGGTTAGTACCCAGGGGTCACCCCCACCCCATGCCATTTAAAAAAGTTCGAATATCTTGTAAATGGTTGAGATCCCCACCCCTAAACCATATATATTCTGGTTTGTCATGATAAAGCACATCAAATGAAATACAGAGTTAGTCCCCAGGGGTCACCCCGACCCCATGCCATTTAAAAAAGTTCTAATATCTTGTAAGTGGTCAAGATCCCCACCCCTAAACCATATATATTCTGGTTTGTCATGATAGAGCACATCAAATGAAATACAGGGTTAGTCCCCAGGGGTCACCCCACCCCATGCCATTTAAAAAAGTTCTAATATCTTGTAAGTGGTCAAGATCCCCACCCCTAAACCATATATATTCTGGTTTGTCATGCTAAGATGGTTTGAATGATATACAGGGTTAGTCCCCAGGGGTCATCCCGACCCCCTGCCATTTGAGAAAGTTCTTATATCTTGAAAATGGTCGAGATCCCCACCCCTAAACCATATATATTCTGGTTTGTCATGATAAAGCACATCAAATGAAATAAAGGGTTAGTCCCCAGGGGTCACCCCACCCCATGCCATTTAAAAAAGTTCTAATATCTTGTAAATGGTCGAGATCCCCACCCCTAAACCATATATATTCTGGTTTGTCATGATAAAGCACATCAAATGAAATACAGGGTTAGTCCCCAGGGGTCACCCCCACCCCATGCCATTTAAGAAAGTTCTAATATCTTGTAAATGGTCGAGATCCCCACCCCTAAACCATATATATTCTGGTTTGTCATGATAAAGCACATCAAATGAAATAAAGGGTTAGTCCCCAGGGGTCACCCCACCCCATGCCATTTAAAAAAGTTCTAATATCTTGTAAATGGTCGAGATCCCCACCCCTAAACCATATATATTCTGGTTTGTCATGATAAAGCACATCAAATGAAATACAGGGTTAGTCCCCAGGGGTCACCCCCACCCCATGCCATTTAAGAAAGTTCTAATATCTTGTAAATGGTCGAGATCCCCACCCCTAAACCATATATATTCTGGTTTGTCTTGATAAAGCACATCAAATGAAATACAGGGTTAGTCCCCAGGGGTCACCCCACCCCATGCCATTTAAGAAAGTTCTAATATCTTGTAAATGGTCGAGATCCCCACCCCTAAACCATAGATTCTGGTTTGTCATGATAAAGCACATCAAATGAAATACAGGGTTAGTCCCCAGGGGTCACCCCACCCCATGCCATTTAAAAAAGTTCTAATATCTTGTAAGTGGTCAAGATCCCCACCCCTTAACCATATATATTCTGGTTTGTCATGCTAAGATGGTTTGAATCATATACAGGGTTAGTCCCCAGGGGTCATCCCGACCCCCTGCCATTTGAGAAAGTTCTAATATCTTGTAAATGGTCGAGATCCCCACCCCTAAACCATATATATTCTGGTTTGTCATGCTAAGATGGTTTGAATGATATACAGGGTTAGTCCCCAGGGGTCATCCCGACCCCCTGCCATTTGAGAAAGTTCTTATATCTTGAAAATGGTCGAGATCCCCACCCCTAAACCATATATATTCTGGTTTGTCATGATAAAGCACATCAAATGAAATAAAGGGTTAGTCCCCAGGGGTCACCCCACCCCATGCCATTTAAAAAAGTTCTTATATCTTGTAAATGGTCGAGATCCCCACCCCTAAACCATATATATTCTGGTTTGTCATGATAAAGCACATCAAATGAAATACAGGGTTAGTCCCCAGGGGTCACCCCCACCCCATGCCATTTAAGAAAGTTCTAATATCTTGTAAATGGTCGAGATCCCCACCCCTAAACCATATATATTCTGGTTTGTCATGATAAAGCACATCAAATGAAATAAAGGGTTAGTCCCCAGGGGTCACCCCACCCCATGCCATTTAAAAAAGTTCTAATATCTTGTAAATGGTCGAGATCCCCACCCCTAAACCATATATATTCTGGTTTGTCATGATAAAGCACATCAAATGAAATACAGGGTTAGTCCCCAGGGGTCACCCCCACCCCATGCCATTTAAGAAAGTTCTAATATCTTGTAAATGGTCGAGATCCCCACCCCTAAACCATATATATTCTGGTTTGTCATGCCAAGATGATTTGAATGATATACAGGGTTAGTCCCCAGGCATCACTAATGCATATACTTTACTGGACCAAACCAATTTTCACTGGACTTTGTCCAATGTCAGGCGACACTGGGAATTTCGAATTATGGGAGCTTCGTTTGGGAGACTTCGTAACAGCATCCTGTTACAATCATTTCTTGTTATCTTAGATATCATTATAATATCTAATATCTAATACTTTTAATTATGATTTTCACCTTATTTTACATGATTTCCAAAGCATCAGTAAATACAGGTGAGCGACACAGGCTCTTGAGAGCCTCTAGTTACTTGTAACCAACTTAAGAATGAAATTAGTATAAATAAGTTATAATTTAAACCAAGATGGAATTTTTCACACTTAAGATGATTCAATATTAATAAGAAAACCATTAATACTTTAATTGATGATTTATGCAATCGTTGGACTACCAGATTAAGCCAGGCAAACTTGTAGCTCTTGTTCAGATGTGAAAATAATTAACATGAATAACATGCCGAGAATTACATATATATTTACCAAGTGTGCTATTGAATTATTTTAAAACATATTGTTGTATAATATATATCTTATCTTTAATGTCAAGATGTTTTACCTAGATTTCTCTAGATTTATCTTGGTTAATTACAAAAAATGTAGTCAAATGTTTTTAAAAAACCAACATAATCCAATGGTTACATTAGTTATCTAGGAACTCCAACTAGATTTCTTAATTTGTACTCATGAAATCAAAAAGATTGGAAAGAGCAGAATAAATCACTTGCATTGATGTAGTGTTCAATACATATACCATCACAGTAGATAACACTAGCTCAGCAGGATCTGCTTACCCTTCAAGATAACCAGAGTTCACCTCCGATTTGGTGGGGTGTGCATTTTGCTGAATCTTAAGTTTTCTGTTTAATGTTTTGTGGACTTGTTTATTTCTTCATCTATTTCTTTTGGTGATTAAGTTGTCGGTTTTACAGTAATTTGATTTATAGTTTTTGATTGTCCCTTATGTATTTCCTCCCTTTATTTTATTGAAAACCTCCTAAAACCTGCAAATCTCATTGATGACTGCAATAGGATTATGGTTCCTTATATCTCATTTATTAAAAAGTACAGATTAATATCTTCATATCCAAAAGAAATCACAATTGAGATAGCATTAACAACTAACCATTAAAGAATGTCTGCGATACCAACCTTTTTTGTCTCACCTTCGACAATGTCTCATAATGTGAGACATAGGGATAAGTATCCAGCGGCGGCTTATTCTATTTGTATATCAGAATTAAGAAGAAACTGAATGCTACATACCTTGTAGTTCAAAGTTCAATGTTAAAGTTTTGTTTTGGTCTATTTCTCAGATACTATAAGTAATATGGCCACTTTATTTTTGTATTAAATGATTGTAAGGTGTACATATCTGTCTGGTAGGTTTCATCTGACCTTGACCTCATTTTCATGCTTCATTGGTCAATATTAAATTTTCTTGGTTATGTCTGTTTCTCAGATACTATAAGCAATAGGTTAACTATATTTGATGTATGGAATGATTGCATGGTGTACATGTTGTCGGGGATTCATTTGACCTTTACCTCGTTTTATAGTTCATTGGTGTAATTAAGTCTGATTCTAAAATGCTATAAGCAATAGGCTAACTATATTTGGTGTATGTTATGATTGTGAAGTGTAGATTCAATCATGATAAGTAAAGTAGGTGACACATTTAAGCCTGTGCACATTTGTGTCATTATACAATCCCCTTTTTGAAGCAGGTGGTATATAGTGATGAGGGTCTCTGTCAGATCGTCCTTTGGTTCTACTTGTATCCACTACTGCTCCTGAACCACTTGACAAAGATTTGTGAACATTCCACAAAATCTTACTCAGATGATGTTCATTTGCACCTATTTGAT